GGGAGGGGAATGATTCCTCATTTCCATATTGGAAGCCAGATCAGTAGCATAGTGACCCAGGTAAAAGTAGATTTAATTTCTTATGATCTAGAACCCATCTGGTCTCTGCCACTATCAACCACGTCGTGGCAAACTGCGCCATTGCAAGTCGGTGTGTGAATGGACCGTCTCCAGGAGGCTTGATGCTTCTCTGACTGGGCTGACTCATCAGAACTTCATTCAACACAACAGATGCTCTAATGCTTCATTTGAATAGTGTATCTCACCATTTTTATATCCGCTTTCATCAAGCCAGAGATAATATTTCCAAGAGTTTATAACCGCTCCGTTTAAAATCTCATGGTGTGACCCATTCGTCTTCCTCACTTTTCCCACTAATTGTGGCCTCGAGCAGTTCCAACTTCTCAGTCAGCTCCCTCTGGTAGCTTAATCATTTATTTCCTTTGCTTCCTGATGGTGTTGTTACAGTTCTAGAGTTGCCTAGAAGAAAATATCACCAACACGTCTGAGATGTGCCCGCCTCAGAGTGTGGACATTCGTACGGCATTTCCAACAACCCACAAGTAACCATAACGCATAATGCCAAGAAATACAAGAGTGAGAAAGGGCATAGTAGATTGGGCAAAAGTGTCCTGCAAGAAAATAGTAAATAATAAGGAAAAAAGAGAGTAAAACAAGATAAGTGGAGGCTGAATCCATTTCTTTGTTGCAGGTGCTTCAACATCAACCAGCTAATGTAAATCAGGAAAGTCTAAGACAAACAACAGTACAGAAAATTCTCTAGACTTCCATTACCTTTACGGGGATGTCTCCGAGGGATAAGCCTTCCTCAGAACACGCTTTAGAAAAGGCAGTATAAAATAAAGGACTGTAATAAAAGCAAAGTGGTGTTCAGGCAAAGCCTAGTGGAAGTCCATAAGAAGGGATTGTCCTTTACATAAGGGGGAAATTACGGAAGTCGTCATTGAGGATCTGACACGGTAGCTAGTTTTTGAAGGCTACCCTGAGACTAAAGTGAGGATGAGGAGAGTTCTGGTCGAAGAGACTGCATGAGGAAAAAATAATTAAATAGTTAATTAAGTGTTAAAAAATGAAGACATGGAAAATACCTGTTCTGTTCTTGAAAAGAGCAGTTTTGAATTTCTGTTCAGAAAGAGAGGGGCGCCGGGGTGGCTCGGTCGGTCGAGTGTTGGACTCTGGCTATGATCTCGCAGTCGTGGGATCAAGGCTCCTCGATGACAGCATGGAGCCTGCTTGGGATTCTCTCTCTGCCTCTTCTCTCTCAAAATAAATAAATAAATAAACATTAAAAAAAAAAAAAAAAGGCTAGGAGGATGATGGGGCCACTTACCAATTATGGAGAAAAGAAAAAAGAACATTGGACCAGACAAAGCTGGAAGATGAAGGGAGTGCTATGCAGAAGGTAGAGGTAAGGAATTATTTTGGACGTGTTGATTGCGTGATGGGGGTTCTTGATGAAGTTTTTACGAGAAAATTGGAAATTTGATCCTGGAGATTAGAAGAGAGACCTAAGTAGGTTATAAATAGTTGGGGGATCTTGGCCTATAGACATCCCAAAATATGGGAATAAAGTATCCTATTGGAGATCAGCCTTCGGCAACATTAATCCTTACATCCCAGAAAGCAAATTGCTTGACAAAGATATAAAAATCATGTCCATCTTTACAGTGACGGAGAATGAGATTTCTGATCCTCGTGGGTGTAAAGCTTCTTAAAGATGAAATGACTGTGGTTCTATCACACAACATGTAGCACAGTCAAATGGTATGCCCTCAAAACATTATAGTATAATTCAATCCTAACTCTGATTTCTCAGCCATCTTTCATGGTATTTGAAAGAAGACAGGTCCACCTTCTCCTAACCAGAATTGATAATCTACCATTATTTCACAAGGGGTAGATAATGGATTGGTGGAATGGTAAAGGATGTATAAAGGACAGGATTGAAAGACTAGTGAGCAAGGACTATTGGGAAAGAGGTATGTATCTCTCAAAATCAGGGTAGACTGTGAAGTTTGCATCTATATTAGTTACCTACCACTATGTAATTAATGACCCACCACAAAAGTTCGTTATTGTTAGCTTAAAACAATAATCCGGGAATGGCTTAGCTGGGTCCCCCGCTTCATGGTCTCATAAGGCTGCAGTTAAGGTGTCAGCCAGGACTGCGGTCTCAAATGAAGCCTCAACCAGGAAGGCATCCACTTAGAGGTCACTCACATGGTTGCTGGAAAGATTCTGTTTCTGAACCTGAAGGCCTCAGTTCCTCACTGGCTCTTGGCCAGAGGCCACCCTTCATTGCTTACCAGGTAGCGCTCTCCATCAGGGCAAGAATGAGAGAGAGAATGCCAGCAAGAGAGAAGTCAGAATCTTTGTAACCTCATCTTGGAAGTGGCATATCATCACGTTTGCCATATTTCATTTCTGGGAAGTAAGCCACTAGGTCCAGCCCACGCTCAAGGAGAGAGGGTTACACAAGGACAGAAATATCCAGGCATCGTGAGGACCTATTTGGGAAGGGTGTGCCATAACATTTCATGCGAATACTCATTAGAGGGTACACACCACAGAAGAGGTCCTCCATAATCAGGTGGGCAATGGTGTGCTGTGTGGATTTCAGTCAGCATCTTCCCATGGTGTCCACGGTGATAAGGATGGAGATTATTCCCGGGCTCAAGAGCACACACTTCTTACCATGGCCGACGGGGCTATCACTGCCATCTAATCTCCCAAGAGTAGAGAAAAATGCTTTGGTCCCAGATATGGAACAATTCTCTAGGGGGAACTGCCTTCCAGTTGCAGGTTGATTACAATGGATCTGTTCCATCATGAAGGAGGCATAGACTCATCCTCATTGGACGTTAACTTTACAAATCAATCTTTAGGTAGCAGAACTTTCATTGGAAGATGGCTGAATCCAAGGAGTCATTAGAATGGTGGATGACCGATACAATTACTGTGGGAAGGGCGTTTCTCCTCATTTGGGAGAAGGGGTAAGAACTTCACTTGTGGGAAGGATAGCTGCACCTTGTTAAGTGAAAACATGAGCTGTTTAACTGCCACGTGGAAGTTTAAGTGTATGACAAAGGGAACACATGGAATCTGAGGAACCAAAGGGGTAGACACTCAATCCACTGACATTGACAATCCACTTGTCAATCCATTCCTTCTAGATACCAAATCGACCCTCCTATGACCTACATTGTGATATTTTAGTCGCAGCTTATAAACAGTTCTCCTGTGCCAGCTGATACAATGGTAGGCTTTGTCAACAGAAAGACCTCTACACGGACAAAGCGAGAGGAAGGGTGTCTTTTCCTGATTTCAGCAGGCTTTCTCCTGTGGGGTGGCGGCCAGCCCCACTTCAGTGACACTGACAGCCATCCTGGGCGACCAGCACCCTCCACGGAGTTTCTCCGCCATCAGCTGTTCACTTCTCATGGGTCACTACCACCTCTGTCCTCCAGCACATTCTGTCACCCTGGGAAGGCTGCACAGATTTGTGGCAGGCACTCCCTCTCTGCTGAGGTCTGAATTCAGCCTCAGGGAAGACCCTCTTCCAAGTTGTTCATTCATTCTCAATTTTTTTTCTTAGGCCCGCTTCATCCAATTTTTCTATTGTTTCCATTGTTGCATTCCTTAGGGTTTGTTTTTTTTTAACCTCCTCTAGTAGTTAACTACCTGTTTCTAGTTAATAAATCTTAATATCGATGTTCCCTCCACCAAATTATTGCTGTCGTTTCTGTCTCCTGAGTGACAATGGTTGATACAAATCTGAGTATTTAAGCTCGGCATTTTCATTCTCCAATTACAGTCTTATAACATGGATACTTACGTTTGGTGCGCTGTGCAAGCATTTTTCTCAAGAAAAGTAAAATTTCAGCATATAGCCCTACAATGCTCATTCGTAAAGTATCTCATGTAGATAAAGTGGGATAGGAGAGAGAAGAGGAGAATGGCATTGGCTTTTTTTTTGCAATTGCTTTATTATATTATATATCATTATAATTAATATATAATTATAATTGTTTCATTAGACCATATAGTATAGCATATTCTGCATATACTATTGTATTTGTATCACCCCCAGTTTGAATTTGCATTTTCATAATTTTAGCCCATTTATTAACCATGCAGTACAAAGAATACCACAAATACAAAGAAATTTTTACTTTAAAGAACCTGCATTGAAACAAAAAGAACAGTCACATATAGGGGTAAATACAGACTGAATTTTCTATTCTGCTTTTTTCTCTTAAGAGTACATGATAGATGCTTTTCTCTGTTGCTTTATATTTTTCATCGTATAATTTTTAATGTCTGTACCCTATTCCACTTGAAAGAATCCACAATGTAGTTCAACTCGTTCCTTGTTTGCTTTCCTGATATCTTGCTGGAGATTTTACAAAGCGATGAAAGGTACTTTGACCAGTGTTGGAGAGAACCAGAAAAGAAAACAGGCATTTTAACTTCTCACCGAAGAGAATGCATTTATTTGAGGTACCAAGGGGAAAACGGGGTTACAGTGTGCTCAGCATCTTGCAAATCCACGGGTGCCGAAACAAATACTAAAAACTTAATCAGTCGAGCTTCTTCCAAAGTACCTACCCGATTCATGGGGACCAAATTAAGCCTTCCTGAAAACTTCCTAGATTGCAAGACATACCACCCTTCCCGTCCACACATACACTGAAAGAGACAACCCTTGAAGTTCAAAGTCTGGATCGATGAACATCTGGAGAATAAAAGAGAGGATAAAGCCAATGACCAATATTAGCTCACGGCAATATAACGTGTTTTCCATCTTGACTAGAAGGCTAGATGCAAAGCTCGTTGTTAATAAACCATTTTTGCTGTTAAAAATTGACGACTGGCTTCCACTTTAAATGGCCCTTTTTGGATGTTTGTGTGGCTCTTTAATCACTACATGTCCCACTCCCTGCTCCGTCATGATCTCACGGTATCAGAGTTCGTGAAGTTCCGCGCAGTGGCTTCCCAGCGACAGCTCAGAACCTCTATGTTTCGATTCTGTGTCTCCCTCTCTCTGACCCTTCCCCGCCCAGTGTTTTGCTCCTCCCTTGTCTCAAAAATGAATAAATGTTAAAAAAAAAAAAAAATTAAATAAATAAATAAATAAATGTCTTTTCCAAATTATGTCACGTGAGTCCCATTAGAAAAGCTGCCGCTTAGTTTTACAGGTATTCTTTCCCTCCCCATTCTCTTCGCTTCCATATCTTTAACGGTTCAGTAGGAAATTTAATTTACTTCCACTTCATGACTTTTCCGATTAATATTACATTACGAAATAAAAGAAACTTTCTTCTGATTAGATGATTTTTCGAACTCGACGGAAAAGTGCAAAAAAGAAATGTGATCAACAGTTTTTTTGTATGCATCGCTTCCATGCAGGATCTGACACTACACCCCTCTTCATTTTCCTTCTTGTCGTTTTTTTTCTTCTTTTCTTAACTGTAATTTCTTGGTTGTTCTTGTCTTTTAGTCCTCTTCCTCTTCACACCACCGAAGTTTCTTCTTCTTCTTCTCAGGTGCTGGATTCCCTTACGGCAGTTAAGGTTTTTCACTTTTCCTCCCCATATCTACACTCACTCCTCAGTGTGAGCATATATTTATCCCATGATTTCCCAGGTCACCTCTTTTCCATCTCCAGTGTCTCACTCTTAGATTGGAGAGTTCTCTAGCTTTTTCAATTCTTCCTGATGTCCAACAGGCTCCCTTCAAACTCAACACATACACATCTTGGTTTGATTCTCTCTACCCCCAAATTTGCACACACACACACACACACACACACACTCCCTGTTGGGAATCTTGAGTCGGGTATCTGTAAAAGGTCACATTAGTGTGGGATTTTGACACCGTAAGTCACATAGAGTCTTCTCTCTTTTTGCTCCGCTTCTTGCAGTCTTCTCCAATTTTTTTTTTTCAACATTTATTTATTTTTGGGACAGGTAGAGGAGAGAGACAGGAGTAAGTACATGAACGGGGAGGCAGAGAGAGGAATGGTAATTGGAACAGGCTCCAGGCTCTGAGCTATCAGCCTGAGCCCCACTGGGCTCAACTCACGGAGCGCGAGATCGCGACCTTGGCTGAAGTCGGATCGCTAACCCGCATCATGCCCACCCAGGTATGCCTCTGCAGTTTTCTCACGACATCAAATCCCTCTTCATGGCCAATAAGACCATGATCTGGCCTCGGTCCCTCCTCCACATCTGTAGCTTTTACCATCTGCTTCATCTCTTTCACCTGGTTCACTCCACTCCACTGTAGGCCTCCTTGCTGGTCCTCAGACACCCAAGCTTAGTCCCTCTCTTGGTACTTGGGCTTGGTATTTTCTTTCCCTACTGTGCTTTTCCCAAATTCTTCCTGGGAATGGTTGCCTCGTTTTCTTCAAGTTCAGCTCCAATATCCCCTCCCAAAAGAGGCTTCTCTGAACATTCTATCTCTATTAACACTTGGCCACATCTCTCTCTCTTTCTCTCTCTCTCTCTCTCTCTCCTTAGCCTACTCTTTCATTCTACCTGACCTTCTACTCTATGCTGGTTTTTTGTGTTTATTGCCCATCCAGCACATTAGAATGTAAGCCCCCGGAGGGCAGGGACTTGTCTTGTACCTCTAGCCAGAAAAATGTTCGGACTAGGTCTACAATAAATATTTGTTGGATAAATACATTTTTAAAAATGTGTGATCTTTTAGGATTTCTTGGTGCCATCTTACTCAACACATTTATAACACAGAAGAAAATGAACACGTACAAGTAATTATCAACTATTCATTTTTCTGCTGTCTAATTTTTAACTGCAGGGTTTCAAAAAATTCAGCCATATGTTTTATGAATAAGGATGAGGGACGGCAAATTCTAATTATCTAATTATAGACAGTTTTTAATTTTTTATCTTATGATTTTTTTCTCTATAATATTTCAACTAGAATAATTTCATTTATCTCCTCCAGCTTTTTATGAATATGCAGTTGTATGTGATGATATTTTTACAAGGGTGAAAGCGTTAACATATAGCAACTGACAAAAGCCTATCTGAATCCAACTTTAAGGATGCTTTCCAAGAGGCCCTTAGAATTATCCTGGGAATTATATGAAATTCCATGTCTTCAGAGTGAAAACAATAAAGAGTAATTTCTATGCCTATTACTGAAAATATCAATAAAAATAATCCATATCAAATTTTAACTTAGTGGATCTACTCCAAATTGTCAAAGTAAGGAATATTTTTAGTAAAGAAATATTTTTAGAAATTTTATTTTCTGATTTTATTATGCCTTTTAAAGCATACAGATATTTTTATAACGGTCAAGGTCCTGACACAGCCAATGAAGTCTTAATAAATGAACTTCAAAATTAAAAGCAAATTATCTTCGGGCTCCTGGGTGGCTCAGTTGGTTAAGCATCCGACTCCTGATTTCGGCTCAGGTCATGATCTCATGGTCAGGAGATCAAGCCCCATGTTGTGCTCCATGCTGAGCATAGAGTCTGCTTACGATGCTTTGTCTCTCTCCCTCTGCTCCTCTCCTCTGCTCATGCTCTCTCTCTCTCTCTCTCTCTCTCTCTCAAATTAAAAAAAAAATTTTTAAGCAAATTATCTTCTTAGGGTAGGCTGGTTGTATTTTTGCTTCAGGATTATACTCAAGAAACACACAAATATAGCTCAAAGCTACGATCGGTAACTTTCGTACTTGCAATATTCTGTAAAATAGCGATTGTTCCCATTTAACATGGAGCCTTAAGAGACAGGACTTATTCCCAGGAGGAAAGGTAAGGTCTTCCAATGAATCGTGCCATTATACACATAGCCTTGATGTAGAAATGGCTATTTCTATTGGAAGTTGTGATAGATGGATCAACCTTCTTGACTGCTGAGAATGTGGGTGAATAGATAGCAGATTTTAAAGGATTAACTAAGTCAGACTCACTTAGAATAATTAGGAGTAAACATAGAGAAATGTGGAATTTTATACTATAGCATTAAGCTTCAAGAGCCACAGTGCCATTAACAAAATCATCAGAGAAACACTTTGGCTAGATAGAGAAAAATACTCACTTAGCCTTTTCCCAAACTCTTACATTTTATTTGTTTTTAAGCTACCACAGTTTTTTTTTTCTAAAAAAATAGAGAACAGAATTCCTCATAAATTCAACTATTATAATAAAATGTGTTCATATTTTCAGAAAATGGTGTTTGCGATTGCATTTGTAGCATATGTTGCTATCCAGATTTTGTCACTTCTTTTGTAATATAACATTAAAAGGGCTCAGTAGTCATGGCTCCAGCTGCTTCCTTGCATTGGCAATGCACCCAGGTCTGCCCCTCAGTCCAGATCTCTCCTGCTATGTCCATGCATCTATGTCCACATGCCTACTGTTTACCTCCTCTCGCATAGCCACAGGCAGCTTCAACTCAGCCTAACTGGTCCCTTCCCCATCCCTCAAACTTGATCGTCAAATTCTCTACGATGGCACCAAAGTACATATCCTGTCACACTAGCCAGAAACCTCCCCTCTCACCCAAATCTCTAACCAGAACTCCCGCTGATCCTAACTCCTACGTACCTCTCGAAAATCTAATCCCCGTTAATTTCCTACTAACCTAGCCCAGGTTCAGGCTTTCATCGTATCTTGCCTGGAGACTAGCAGTAGCTTCTTGGATTCCTTATTTCTACTTCACGGGCCCTCTGGCCCCAATCACAATTTTCTATGTTGCTTGGGTAACAGCCGTCAAACCCAAATGTGATTATACTGCTCCTGGGTTAAAATCTTTCAACTGAATTGATTTCTGTGAGAGAGAATTAAAACACCTTAACACGTTAGCCACACTTAACTCCTTACAGGTCAAGGGATCCCTCTTCTGGGTCCCCAATGGCACGTGAACATCTTCGCCACAGCTTTCTTCATTCTAGACTCTCATGTTTGGTTGCCCTTCCACGTTGCTGACTAGACTGGGTGCTGATTGAAAGAGGTGAGTGTAAACACTTCCCTCTGTATTTTCAATGCCAAGCATATGATAAGTGTTCAATAAATGTTTCATGCATGAATCAATAAACTCAAATTACTATACTAAAGGATGCTGCTGAGTTAATCATGAACCTTCTCAGGTAATGCTTATTGTTTAAAGTATTTCAACAAAGATATTTCAACCTAAGGAAATCTTCCAATTTCCAGTTACTGAGCTGGCTAGTGGAGGAATATTTGCAAGCAAGGATGCCTCTGATGCCTCTCAAATCAAGCCACTATGTGCTGGCTTTATTGTATACAGTTAGAAGTGGCCATGACCGTGCATCATAATTAATGGTTTTTCCATCATTGGTCTTGGCCAACCTAGTAATTTGCGAGGTTGCGTATACAACTGACCATTTTTACAGCTTAACGCTGTCATCTTGGCTTGCAGGCAATTTACGTACAGTCTGAGTTTCGACAACTTAAAGGTCACAGAACTTTAATAAAAGACTAAATAAAGGCTATCATCTCTCATACGCTTTCTTTTATGGCCCTATGTGAGAAACACAGAGGTAATATTGATAATTCATGAGGGTTTTATTTAGGTACTTAGAATATAATTCTGGAATATATACAACTGGGAAGATAGAAAATGGCGTAATAACGATTGTATACGTATGGTGATTTACCACTCAGAATTTACCATCTCTAAGCAATGTGGCCTTTTTTCCTCCTCCCTCTTTGCTGTGATCTCTAAGAGTTATGGTGCTGTGCTTCCTCAGATAACCTTGACCTTTTAAAATATTGCACAGTTTCTGAAGAATCAAAGATGGTGGCTGGCCCCCGGGGAGGTCTGAGCACCACAGCACGTTGTTATAAGACAACACAGTACTAGAAGTACGCAAGAGTACTCTGAAAAACCAAAGCCACATCAGTGGTATTACTGAGAAAACATTATGTGAGTGGAGGACTCCCAGCATCTCTCACCCACACTGTAGATGTCCTCGGGAAACTAAATCAAAGTTTCCTGTAAGAAAAATTTTTCCTGAAGTTTGTCCTGTTTCAAGACTAGCTCATGTCAAGGAAATGGTCAAGAAGTCTGACCTTTTTTGTCTACTGAAATCAAGATGGATGCTTTCATTTCACTCCCCGTTGTAGACAAAAGGAAAATGGCTGAGCTTGGAGACAGACCCGCAGAACAATCACTTCTGAGAAAGGTAACTTAATGGCTCTGTTTCTTGCGGTGTTTTGTTTTGTTTTCAATTTATTTATTTTGAGAGAGAAGAGGGGAGGAGCAGAAAGAGAGAGCGAGACAGAACCTCAAGCTGACAGCATGGAGCCTGATCTCATGAGCCGCGAGATCGTAACCTGAGCAAAAATTAAGAGTCGACACTTAACTGACGGAGCCCCCCAGGCACTCTGCAAAGGTGTTGTTTTAAGTGGTTTATCCATCTCAACTTTTCTAATTCTTGGCTTGGTGCCGTTATTGCCATCCCCATCCTCCAGATGAGGAAACTGAGGCATGGAGAATGTGAGTCACTTGTTGAAGGTCACAGAGTGGTAAATAGATCAGAGAGAGTTCAGAACCAGACCATTTGGTGCCAGGGCCCTTGCTCCTAACCACTCTTCCAGACTGCATTTCCCTTTAAGCTATTGCCATAAAAGACCAGGAAACAAAATGTGATATCCAGAGATCTTTATAAATACATAACACAAAGGAAAACTTTTGGAATTAAAACAATATATTGATTATGTAGTAAAGCATAGGAATTAGAGTCAGTAAAACTGGCCAATTTGCCTATAATTTTTCCCAACTACAAGCACTTCTGTTTACCAACTAAGACATTACTTGAAATTTCAGTTCTTGATAGTGTTCTGGTAGTTCTTGGTACTATGTCAGTAACATAGCAAACATCTTGAATCCAGCTTGCTTCCTGTTAATCTGGGATAAACCAAGGGATGACACAGAAAACCTAGAGCTATTCTATTTCCTTCTCTTTCCCAACTAAGCTGTCTGTATTCTTTTTCAATTCAGACCAGAAATGACAGCTTATCTGCAGGTGAAGGTGGCTTATTTAAAAAATTATGTTAGTTTTCAATTCTCTGATGAAATTTAATTTTCTAAAGATGTTTTGCTTTTGTCGATACATTCACTTAAAAGTTAGAATATGTACTTCTGTAACACAAATCATTCATTTGTTTACTCAGTATTTACTGAGTGTCAGATATTCCAAAATGGGTCAATTTTGTATTTACCCATGTTAACACAATGGGAAATAACCTTTTC